CCTAAGGCCCCTCTGCTTTCTACCGCCAGCCCTGCTTCCACCCTGCCTGGCTGGACTGGTGCAAAGCACTTCTGTGCCGTTTATAAATGCTGGGCAGCCTCTCTGAGAGTCCCAACTCGCCCCAGCCTCCAGCCGGTCTGAAAAAGCAAATCTCTTTTTCACCCAGGGCTCAGCAAAAAGGGTGGGGGATCCTGCTTTTGCTAAGAAGGGGCAGGGCATGGATGAAGAACTGTGGGAGGGTTTCCCTCTTCCACTTGCAACCAAGTACACCTGGAATCGGTTCAGGACTCTGGGCGGCCGGGCTGCATCTCCAGACCCGGTACTGGAAGGGAAGCAGTTGCAATTCCCCAGCATTGTTTTCATTTAGATTTGAAATAGGTTTTAAGCCCTTGACATATTTTTTTGCAAACATTTAGTTGGTCTTATAATAGAGATCACCTCTACCACCAGTTCTGATTGCTTTTGCCTCTAGACTAATATCGCTACAGACTGGATACCTGAATACCTCTCTGTTATTTGGGTGTAGCCACCTTGGTCTAAGGGCATAGGCAGACAAACTTTTTTCCATCCATTTGAGTTGGTCTAAGAAACAATATCCAATTTACCCAACCAACCTCCTCTGCCTCTGTCATTTGAAGCTTGACCGCTTGATGTCACTGTCCCCCTAATTTAAAATCACTTGATAACTGTAACCCTGCCTCCTTTAACAAGAACATTGAGTTATAGGTACATACAGTCGTACCTGATGTGAAAAGCAAATTATCCTCCTCATCCTATTCAGATGCGCAGTGCAGGTCAGTCCCGGCCTCCTCTTTGAAGATCAGTTATTGTAGGTACATGCTCCCAATCTTCAACAGACACAGCCTTGCTCTTCAAGTGGCTTCACTTGTATGATGTTGTTCATGGCACAACGAGCTTCTTCAAGGGACCGAAACTACCAGTCAGTTTCTTTCTGGCCACGAGATGAATCCGTATCTTCTGAATAAGATAATCCTGTTGCAACCAAATGAGAATAGATATTTAATAAAACTGGTGTGAAGTCATTAGGGAAAGAAATCTACGGCCTGATTTTCAGAGAGGCTGATAGCCTATTTCTGTTACTTCATTAGGATTTCTTGATCCTCAGTACTTCTGAAAAATGAGACCTGTCTTTTATTTCAAAGAGGTAAACAAACAGGCCAGAAGAGCTAATTTGCTTCCATCATTATTTTAAAAAAATAATAAAAATCACACTTTGTGTGTGTGTGTGTGTGTTTTATAAGGGATAATTGAGGAATTTATAAGTCCAGAAAAGTTGTCTTCGCTATTTGTATTGTGACCTGTTGCTGGTTATGAAAAAAGAAAACATTCGCTCATGCTTTTGCCTTTCAGAAATTGGAATCTCTAAGGAGGAGGCATTGGAAACGTTGCAGGTCATAAGGCAGGAATGTGATAGTGATGCCGCCAGGATGGGTGGCGACCCCACGTCTCTCCGGAAGTGCACGGCACTGGAGCTCTTAGAACGAGAGCAAGCCCAGGGCTTTGTCGTCACCTTCTGTTCAGCGCTAGATGACATCCTGGGTGGTGGCGTGCAGCTGACCAAAATCACTGAGATCTGTGGTGCTCCCGGCATCGGGAAAACGCAGTTATGGTATTTTACTTTTAAATTATTTCTGTGCAACTAAGTGTCTAGTTGCCCTTTCGACCCATCAGTAACTAGGGCCACCGTTCTTTATGCTTGTTGTCATGGCTACAACCCCAGATTCTCAAGCTGCAAGAATACCCCTGTACTGATTGTATCTTCCACTCAATTTATCCCTCACCAGAATTGTCACTTTAGAGATAAGCTAGAAGGGCAGCCTTATAAACCCCGGTTGGTATCTTTCTGCTTTCTCTGACAGCATGCAGCTGGCAGTAGACGTGCAGATTCCCGAATGTTTTGGCGGGCTGGCTGGAGAAGCTGTTTACATTGATACAGAGGGGAGCTTTATGGTGGAGAGGGTGGTGGACATTGCAACTGCCTGCGTTCAGCATTGTCAACTTATTGCTGAAGCGCATCAGGAAGAAGGTATGTTACTGAGCCATGTTCCTTTCAGCACAGTCAGCTAAGGTCAGACAGAGCAAGAGCCTCATAACACTGTCCAGTACTTGAATGTGGATGCGCACCTTGATGAGGTTATTGGACCCCAGCCGTGTTTCCTGCCCAGAGTAGGGGGGCTAGACCCGATGATCTCATGAGGTCCCTTCCAACCCTAAACTTCTGTGAATATGTTCAAAAATACTTCAGTGTAGCTGGGTTATATTTCACTGAAAAGGTTTGTTTTTCTCGCAGGTAGCTAAAAGGAGCAGTTGTCAATGCATCAGGTCCAGCAGCCTTGATATATTTAAGGAGCATTTTGAACAAAAGATGTATTCGTTTTGCACAGCTCTAAGCTGGCCGGCCCCCACCCACCGCCACCCGCCAGCCGAGCTATACCACCCCCCCCCCCCCAAATTGGAGGAGCCATTACCTGCATATTAAGTATTCTGTGGCTATTTTGAACCAGTGTTGTGTTTGTTAGCTCACTTGAAAGTTAATTCATGGGCAAATCTGATATAGAGATAGATAGATAGATAGATATTCATTCAGTTGACATTTTTGTACCCCTGCCCTCCACTGCAGGTTTTGGTGCATGTGTGTGGGCAAGTCCTGAGACAGCTTCTAGCACAATTTCTAAAGTCATTTTGCTGTCTGCTTTTAGGCCACAGGAAAAGGAAACTTGTGTCCATTCTTTTCAGCTTTGACCACTGAGTTCCTTTTTGTTTTACAAAGTCTCTATGTTGCTTTTGTTGCCCACAGAGGGGTTGGGGGATTGAGGAGTGTAACAATGTGCTAGTGCAAATTTCTTTCTTTTTTTTTCCCCAGACCATCATAAAGCCCTGGAGACTTTCTCCCTTGAAAGCATCCTGTCTCATATCTATTACTTCCGTTGCCATGACTACACTGAGCTGCTAGCGCAGATTTACCTTCTCCCAGACTTCCTTTCAGAGCATTCAAAGGTAGGGGTTACTGCAGATGTAGCTGAAGGTGCCGCACATACCCGGACACGCAAGGAAGACCTTGAGGGTTTGCTGACTGGCATAAGACCAAACCAGTCCCTCTTAACTTCCAACCCGATCGATCATCAGCTTGGGAATCATGATTTGGCAGATGTCAAAATTGTCACGATGTGCTTTTCTTTTTCACCCCAATTTCTGCTTAGTCCTTCTGATAATGTATTGTCTCTGTCCTAATGCTAGGGCTCTTCAGCACTTCACCACAAATACTACATTTTCTGGGAGCAACAGGCTAAGAATTGTCACAGGTGCTCCTGTCAAATGCCCCCCCCAGTCATGTTTGCACCTGGTCAGCATTTTGCAGTGGTGCCAGTGGATGTGATACCAGTTTCATCCAGAACTAAAAGTACTTGCAGGGGCTTTGCAATTTAAGGCTGATTTTCCTCTCAGTACTATCTCTATTGCTGCAAGCAACTTGAACTTGCAGCTTCATTCTTTGGTGGACAACTTGAAAAGCCAGCTAAGTTCTCCATGAAAGAGTATTGTAATGCAGTTTCCTTATCTCTTTGCCAGATTTTAGATTCTGTAGGACAAATCATTCCCTGGCAAACTGTACTGTTGATGTTTTGTGCCTTACTGTACTAGAGCACAAATGAACAGTGTTAATAAGACACTGTCTTGGATACAGGCTGTCTCTACTATTTCCATTTTCAGATGTTCTTGTAGTGAAGGAGGAGCAGGTAGGAGTGTAGCATGTGCTCAGAGTGTACTCACCTCTGGTATTGCCCTCTCTGATAAGTACTAAAGGTGCCCTGTTGTGTTTGCCATTGTGATCTTAGCACAGTTGCAATGGGTTGCAGTTACGTCAGGCCATCTGTGCAGATTATCCATGCTTGTCCTTAAGCCTGATGCTCTGTGGTCCCTCTAGTGAGGAGCTCCCCATGTTAGCACTTTCTGTGCTAAAACTAGCCCGGTCCCTTAAATAGTCTTGTAGCTAAGGAGTAGAGGCAGGGACCCCAGAAAAGGTCCTGTCTTCATTTTGTGTAATGAATGACACAGTACCTTTTTCCAGGTAATTGTGGTGGGTGGCCGCAGTATGATGTTACCTCTTATATCCCTCTTATACAACAAAAAAGACCATGCCAATAAACCATTTCTGTGATGATAATAAAAGCAACTTATGTCTGATGTGGACTAGGCAACTGTTAGCAAGAGGACAGAGTCTTAAATTGTAACCAGAGAGATTTAGATCATGCGATAGGAAGATATTTCTATCATGGGTAACCACTGAAACATCCCCTAGAGATTGTGGAGTGTCTGTTAAAAATGTTCAGTGCAGGTTCGGCAAACATTTGTCTGGGTTGGTTTAGATGTAGGTGAACATGCCTTGAGCAGGGGGCTGGAGTGGATGACATCGTGAGATCGCTTCCAACCCTATTTTTCTGTGATTCTAAGTTATTAGTTATAATTCGGCTTGGCAGGATTCTATTTTTATTGATAGACACCGATAAATATTGATTTTGCTTGACACTCTCAGACTGGCAGAAAAATATTTCCATCAGTAATCATCAACATTTACATAAAGGAGACTTAAAAAAATCCAGGATGGAGGTAAAGAAATCTGGAGTAGGGGGCACTGCATGTGCACACACACACACACGCTTACACTCACACAAACAGCAGCTACTGCAGGAGCTGGGGGCCGTGCTAGGCAGGCTGTGCTGGGAGAGGGGTGGGAGGAGCAGAGGTTGTAGCAGTGGGGAACCAGGTGCTGCTGACCGCTTACTCTGCCCACATCCCAGCTGGGGCATGGGCCGAACTCCCATGGAGCCCAACCCAGCTTCTGTGGGAGTTTGGCCCCTGCCCCAATCGCACAGGGGCCAGACCAGGCTTCACAGGAGTTTGGTCCCTGACCCAGCTGGGATCAGGGCAGAGCTATGAGCCAGCGGCACCAGGTTCCTGGATGCTACCAGTTCTGCTCCTCCAACCGCCGTATCCTGGAACAGCCTTACTGCTATAGCACTTTGCTTCTGTAGCCGCCGCTCTGTGTGTGCGCATGCATGTGCTAAATCAATTAAAAATAAAAAACCAGCCCTCAATTTCATACAACCCTGAAAATTTCAATCAGTAAAAATCAAAATAAATGCATAAAAACAAACAGTCAATTTTAGCTGTCAAAAAAATTTTGAATTCTGCCAAGCCTAGTTTTTATTTAGTCTTGAGTGCTTTAACCTAAGAAGCATGCTGATTTTGTGACAAGTGCAGTAGTAAAAAAAATCCATTACTTTACTATCTTGCTTGTTTAGCTCTTGTTCAGATAGATGCATATGCAGGGTCATAAAACTTGCCTTTCTAGCCCATTGGATCATGCTGTTAAACTGTTTTTGCCCATTTCTTTAAGGACAGGGTGAATATTAACACCAGAAGTGATGCATGAGGGGAACATGTGGAATGCTGTGAAAGAGGATCTCGGGAAAAGGGAGAGTGAAAACGAGTGTGCCAGATGTTAATTCTGCTTCTTTCAGCTCCATCTCACTTTTCAGCTTCCATTTCTTTCCTCTGAGTCCCTTTGCAGTTCTCTGGAGTGACATTTGCTGTAGGCTTGTATGTTCCAGCCCTAAAGCTATTTTCCAGTGATGAGTTAAATCCATAGTTTGAAAACAACAGGGTTTCCCACTGTCATTTTCAAGCTGTTGTCTTGCGCATTAATGCAAGAACTTGCAGATTCCCTTGATGCTGATGTTGTGGCAGCCAGCCATGCAAACAATATAGAAATACCAGGGTCGCCCTCCTATACTTGAAGACATTTTGTCCATCACAAATGCTACCACAAATGGAGCTGAAATAAATCAAAATCCCAAGCTACTGTGGATGTGGTGCTTTGACGATGATGAGCCTGCAGCAGTGTAATACTCTAGTCAATGCTAATGAATACTGCAGAGGAAAGAGTTCAGCAAAGCAAACACCTCCAGGGGAGATAGACACCCAACTCAAAGTGCCTGGTGTTTCTGTAAATTTCTGCTAATATCCATGTTTCCAAGCTAGATTCCTGTTTAAAGTAGCTCACAGATACTGGGGCCTATTACAGAAAATTCTCAGGCCAGTTACCACTGTTGTTACAGTTTTTTTGGGTGGGGTGAACAAAATAATTGGAGGTGGATGAAAAGTACTAGCTCAGAAGCTGAGGGAAACAAAACGCTGAACAGTTTTTCATGGCTGCTCTTGTCCAGCTTTTATCTATCTGGATACAAGCTTAACACCAGTTCTCTTTGCTTTTCGTGTGTAGGTCCGATTGGTAGCGGTTGATGGAATTGCATTCCCTTTTCGTCATGACTTTGAGGACCTCTCACTGCGAACAAGGCTTCTGAATGGCCTGGCTCAACAGCTGATCAGCATAGCAAATGATCATAAATTAGCTGTAAGTTTTGGGACAAGGTTAAGTCCAAGGAGATGCTATTCGGCAATACATTCCAAAGATTTCTTCTAACATCTTTGGCAACAGCTAAGCATATCCAAGTAAAGCTGCAGGTATGCAAGTCAAGCTCGTTGGGTGCCTGCCTGGTCAGCTGATAGGAAGAACATGAGCAGGATTTGGACAATAGATCTTTCTCTTGAGCTTTCCTTAAACAAGTTAAAATTAACTGAAAAGTATCAGATTAATCTTTTTAGGTAACTGATCAAATATCAGTCTGTCGAAGCCCATATCAGCTCATACCCTGTTCCACCATGATCTTGGTTGGAAAATGCATTTTAAGTAGAGTAGCAGGTGCAGTGGAGCCTGCTTGAAGGGAAATGGAGTACAAGGGACTGCATTGGCCTTGGAGAGATGGAGGAGGTGCAAGAGAACCTGCCACATCTGCCAGGGTCGAGAGGGAATGCTTTCTCCTGCCTGTCCTTTCAGGCTATTGTGAAACACCATCTAACATGAAGTTCCTGTCACGCACGCACGTGCGCGCACACACTTAATTCAGCCCATATGAAATGGCTTTTAGTCTCCAAAGATACCCAGAAAGAGAAAAAAGAGAGCTCATTCAGCTACTTCCTCCCATACATACATGCACATTAAAATGAACTAGACTGTTCAGCAACCTGGACATAAATTGGACCCGGTTTAAAAAGGACCACCATTTACTGAATAACCACTTTATTTGCTATGGTTTAGCTCCTTGATTTGGCATCCATGGAAACCCGTAGCTTCCTGTCTGTAGATTGTTTCTGCACCATATACCACAATATGGAGGTCTGCAAATGTGCAGCCATCTAGCCAGCAGATGGCACTCGGAAGCTACAGCTGTTTGGAGGGGGTGTTTTTGAGACCTGCAGCACAGAGAGGCATTGTTCAGGAATTAAATCTTATGCAATCTCAAAATGGTGCTTGTCCATGCAGTGTTTCCAGGTGACTTGCTTCTTTGTCTCCCAGAACTCTCTCATGCAATTGGCTTTTGTTTGTGTGGCTAAAAATAAGCCTCTCCCCTGTGTTTCCTCAAATAGCTATGGAAGGAAAAGTGCATAACTGTGCATGCTGCCAGCTTTACAAATTTGTGCCTGCCAGTAACAGCAATCCCAACGTGAACTACAAAGGGGTTTCTTTCATGTGTGGGCACCAAGGGATACAAGTGCTGGGTGAAGACTAGTTTTGTACAGCCCTCTGTAGATTCGACCATGCTGGCCCATAAATTGGGTGTCCTGTGAACTTGTCATCAGATCGTTCCTTTTGTTTCATCTGAGTGATGCATGCATAGGTTTTGTTTTTATTGAACAGCGGATCAGTTCCTCTCCAACAGCTGCTCCCTGGGAAACGATCGGTCATAACCTATAGGAAAGAGCCTCGTGAATTGACTACTCAAGCAGGAGTCCATACAGCAGGGATAACAAGCTTGACAAACCCTAGCATTCAGGGTAGGCACCATTTCAACAAAAGCAAAACAAACATTACAATTAATATCTCCTAAATCACCAAAACTAGTGTTTCAAGTCAGCTATTACCTTGCTCCTTTTCATCTCACCCACCCCCAGTTCTACCAGGGATCTGACCTAGACTGTCTCTGAACCTCCTCAAGAGGATTCTTGCTGTAAAAACACGCCCCCACTCTGTCTGTTCTCACGCATTCTGCTTTGTAGTGTACCCACTTGTGCATTTTTAGACTACAAGCTGCAGGGAATCTGCTCATCCCTGGGCACACGCACACTTTGTACAGCACCGGGATCATTACGACACAGTGGTGGAGTCTGCCTGTGCAGAGGTGCCAACACAAGTCCTGTGCACATGAATAATACAATATGTATTAGCTGCTGCTTGGCAGCCAGTGTAATAGAGATGACTGTATGGTGTTTGTGCATCTGGCGTAAGGAGAGGTTTCGCTTTAGAATTACAATCCTGACAGAGGAAAAATCCTGCTCCCCGCCAGACTGAAAACATTTTTTGTAGAGTTCAAACCCGCTGTGGATATCAGCGCAGTAAGCCTTCGCATTCTCTCATCACTCACTACAGCCCCTTTCCAGTTGGCAGAAATTTTGCCTGAGTAATGATTATAAGATCAGATCAGGAATACAGCAGTTCTTGAGAGAGGCTTTTTGGGAAACTGGCTTTTCCTTTCATACATGACTGTTTCCCTGTATTTTTTTTTTTTTTTGCCAACCCCTTTTTTTTCCCCTTAGGTAATTTTGACAAATCAAATGACAACAAGGATTGGACAGAGTCAGTCCACGTTGGTACCTGCTTTAGGTAGGTGGTTTAGCCAGCAAACTGGAAATTATATTAGCCTTTTGATGTTTGCTTTTCTGGTTTGTACTGTGAACAGAAAAACTGAAAATGTCTTCTGTAATTTGTGTAGCT